GGTGATCTCACCCCAAGCCCCTCCCAGCTGCAGGCTCCCCATTTTCCTACTGCACCCTGAACTCTGTGCCCCCCTTCACAGGAGGTTGTGGGGTGCCCTTCACCTTGCCATCCCCATGGGCTGAAGGAGATGTCTCTCTGGGCACTTCATACCTCCAACCCCCACATTTGCCACCAGACCCAGGTGCCCCCTTGATCCTGGGAACCCCCTTTGGGGAAGAGGAAAGCAGCATTCAGGATCTCCACTAGGCAGCACCACAGGGATGTGGGGGGATGAGTCAGTGTCCCCACCTGGAAATGGAGGGGTGATCAGCCCAATTCCCCCCACCCTGGCTTGGTCCCAGGGTGTCTGGGGATGGGAGTTGTTGGGCCTGGGCCCGCCCATCCCCTTGGCACCAAAGCTGCTGTGAGTCACTGGCAGGAAATAGGGGCTCCTCCTTGCTGCACCCTGACCCCACCCATCCCTGGGGGAGAGGCTGAGGCAGGGGGTGGGGACTGAGGTGCAGCAGGATGGGGGGGTAAGGCGGGGACATTTAGTGGGGGGATGGGATGAGGCTGGAGTGGGAGGTGGGGGGATGGGCCTGAGCTGGGTGTGTGTTGGAGGGGGGTGAGGCAGGGGGCATGGGCTCATAGGTGGGGGTTTGGGATGAGGTGAGGGGACAAGGCAGGGGGTAGGGGCCTGTGGCATGGGATGAGGGGGTGAGGTGTGTGGGCCCATGGGGTGGGACAATGTAGGAGGAGGTGAAGGGCAAGGTTTGTGGTGAGCAGGTGGGGAGGGGTGGCACTGGGCCCAGGCTGGCTTTGACCCCCATCCTCATAACCTTGTCTCTATGGTAGCAAACCTGACTGGCCATGAAGAGAAAGTTGGCATGGAGAACTTTGAACTGCTCAAGGTGCTGGGGACTGGAGGTGAGTGGGGGACACAGGGGGCTGTGCCATGGGGAGGGGCACTGGAGGTGCACAGGGGTCACTGGGGGCTGTGCCCCCATTCCTCCTCCCAATGGGATAGCGCACTGCCCATCAATCCCCTCTCTCCCCAGCCTATAGGAAGGTCCCCTTCCTCCCTGAGCCTGCTGCTCCCATCCCCACTTTCCTGAGTTCCATTGTCTCCCCAGTCCCCTGGGATCCTCCTGATGTCCCCCTCTGGGCCACCTCTGATACCCCTCTGTATCCCCCAGCCTACGGAAAAGTGTTCCTGGTGCGCAAGATGACAGGCCATGACGTGGGGAAGCTGTATGCCATGAAAGTGCTGCGCAAGGCGGCCATTGTGCAGAAGGCCAAGACCACAGAGCACACACGCACTGAGCGGACCGTGCTGGAGCATGTGCGGGCATCGCCCTTTCTAGTGACCCTGCACTATGCCTTCCAGACTGGCTCCAAGCTGCACCTCATCCTGGGTATGGGGGAACCCTTGAGGGGGCAGGGGAGGGTGGGACACTGGGACCCAGGGGATGGGGTGTGGCAGATGCCAGGTGCAGAGTGGATCCAAGGGAATGGGTAGGGTAGGACAATGGGACCCAGCAGGTGGGGGAGCAGGGAGACCCTAGGGTGTGGCAGTAGGTGGAGCTGGAGAAAGACCAGTGTTGTTTTCCACAGCAATATTTGATGAAAACATAATACAAGAACATAATACAAGAACAAGGGGCCACCAAATGAAATTAATAGGTAGCAGGTTTAACACAAACACAAGAAAGTTTTTTTTCACACAATGCACTGTCAACCTCTGGAACTCCTTGCCAGAGGGTGTTGTGAAGGCCAATACTATAATGGGGTTCAAAAGGGAGCTAGATAGATTCATGGAAGATAGGTCCATCAATGGCTATTAGCCAGGATGGGCAGAAATGGTGTCCCTAGCCTCTGTTTGCCAAAAACTGGGATTGGGTGACAGGGGATGGATCACTTGATGATAACCTGTCTGTTCTTTCCCTTTGGGGCACCTGGCATTGGCTACCGTCAGAGGACAGGATACTGGACTTGATGGACCTTTGGTCTGACCCATTATGGCTGTTCTTATGCTCTTATGTAAACAGAGGGTGAAATGATTTTTGCCTAACTTTTCCAGGGGAAACTTTTCAAGTTTTTCAGCAGGAATTAAAAAACGGAACTATTATGATAGAGAAGTACTGCTGCCATGTTTGATGGGAGTTGTAGTTCAGATACCTCGCACTCCTATCCTTTATGTACTGTGCACCCTGGTCGGACTACATTTCCCATGGTGCACCAGGCCATGGGCTTCTGACACACCATCTAGTGTCTCCAACGGGGGGGGGGGAACTATGATGCATTATGGGAGGTGTAGTCTGGCCAGGGAGCTTAGTCAATAGAGGAGAATGGGTGTGTGTGTGTGTGTGTGAGGCAGCTGACTTACAGCTCCCATGAGGAGCTCAAGCCAGACAGCAAGGGGAGGCTGTGGTGCATTGTGGGAGATGTGGTTCAACCAGGGAACTTGGCTTACAGATTAGAATGAGTGTGTGAGGCACCCAAACAACATCTCCCAGGATGCACCACAGCCAGGGATTCATGACACTACCACCGGTGGCGGGAGAGGGACAGGACTATGGTGCATCATGGGAGATGTATGGTGCATCATTTGTTTTTTTGATAAAAAATAAAACATTTATTCCAGAAACAGGCTTTTGGGGAAAATTTGCCTTTTAACACCCCCCTCAAGTTTTCCTGGGGGAGAGGCAGTGAGGGTGGAGCGATAGGGGAGGCATACAGCACCCTCCTGTGCCATGGGGTGTGAGAAAATCCAGACCAAGCTGAGAGGGGCTGGGGGTGGGGAGGGGACTGGCTGGGGGCGTTGGGTTCTCACTCCCTGTCGTCCCCCACCCCCCGCCCTGCAGACTACGTGAGTGGTGGGGAGCTCTTCACCCATTTGTACCAGCGCGATCATTTCAAGGAGGAGGAGGTGCGGATCTACGCCGGGGAGATCGTGCTGGCACTGGAGCATCTGCACAAGGTGGGGGGCTGTGCCTAGGGGGTGGAGCAGGGGGAGCTCTGCTTTCCAGGGGGTGCATGTTCTGGGGGGATGGGAAATATCTGGAGAGGATACTCCAAAGACCAGGTAGACTTTTATGCTATGGAGGGGCTCTGAGGGGCCATGCCACAGGGAATACGGGGGTGTCCTATAGGGAGTTCCTAGGGGGCTCTCGGTCCGTGCCACAGGGGCTGTGGAGGTGCTGTCCTGTAGGGGTTCCTGGTGGGCTGTTGGTCTGTGCTGCAGGGTCTGTGGGGGTGCTGTCCTGTAGGGGTTCCCGGGTGCCATGCTACAGGGTTTATGGGGATGCTGTCCTGTAGGGGTTCCTGGGGAGCTCTTGGGCTTTGCCTCAGGGCCTATGAGGGTGCTGTCCTGTAGGGGTTCCTGTAGGGCTCTTGGGGGGCCATGCCGCAGGGGTTATGGGGGTGCTGTCCTGTAGGGGTTCCTTGGGGGCTCTTGGGTTTTGCTGCAGGGGCGATGGGGATGCTGTCCTGTAGGGGTTCCTGGGGGGCTCTCGGGCTGTACCGCAGGGGCTATAGGGATGCTGTCCTGTAGGGGTTCCTGGGGGGCTCTCAGGCTGTACCGCAGGGGCTGTGGGGATGCTGTCCTGTAGGAGTTCCTGGGAGACTCTAGGGCCATGCCGCAGGGGCGATGGGGATGCTGTCCTGTAGGGGTTCCTGGGGGGCCTCTCGGTGCCACAGGGGCTATGGGGTGCTGTCCTGCAGGGGTTCCTGGGGGGTTCTCCCTCTGTGCCATAGGTTCTGGGGGTTGCTGTCCTGCAGGGGTTCCTGGGGGGCTCTTGGGCCGTGCCACAGGGGCAATGGGGGTGCTGTCCTGTAGGGGTTCTTGGAGGATGGCACTCCAGGTTGGAGGGGCACTGAGGAGCCATGTTGTGGGTGGACCTGGGGGATGCAGGCTTTGGGTTGTGTCATCTGCAGCTGGGCATCATCTATCGGGATGTGAAGCTGGAGAACATCCTGCTGGACAGCGAAGGGCACGTGGTGCTTACTGACTTCGGCCTCAGCAAGGAGTTCCTCACCGAGGAGGTCAGACACCCCCACCCTGCCCCCGATGATCCCCCATAACCTCCCCTGGGCACCTCAATATCCTGCCCCATCCCCTCACCCTGCCCCCTGGGGATCCCCCAATATCCTTCCCCTGGAAACCCCCCGCATTCCGCCTCTAGGAATTTGCCCCTCCCCACAAGGATCTCCCTGCCCTCACTCTGCCCCTCTCCCATCTTCCTGATGAAAAGCGGGGGAGATTCTCTTTGCTTCCCAAGGGGGTGTCTCTTTGCTCTGCCCCCTCCCCCGGTCCTTGGTGTTTGGGGCCTGGGGAGAGGTGCAGCCCCTCTTCCTTGTGGAGGCTCCATAGCTGGGACCCTGGCACTGACTCCCCCCCCATTCTTCTCACCCCTCCCCCACAGAAAGATCGCACCTTCTCCTTCTGCGGCACCATCGAGTACATGGCCCCCGAGATCATCCGCAGCAAGTCAGGGCATGGGAAGGTGAGCGGGGGCGGGGGGGCAGGGCGTAATGAATGGGAGGGTGTGGTGGGGAGGGAGGGGTATGGCAAGGGAACCAAGGGTTCCATAGCGGGCATAGTGATGGAGGAGAAGAGGGTGGGAGAAGTGAGGGGGCATGGCAAGATGAGAGGAGTGGGGGGAG